TTATTTTTGATGGTGGAAAAAGCTCTAAGTGGCCTAATGAGGAAAGTTGAGAAGACTGGAATGTTGAAGGGAATCTAGGTGGGCAAAGGTGAGCTCTGCATCTCGCACTTGCAGTTTGCGAATGACACCATCCTAACATGTGAGGCAACTGAGGAGAGCACGTGGGCAATGAAATGTGTAATAAGATGCTTTGAGCTGATTTCTGGCCTTAAGGTGAATTTTGATAAGAGTTGGCTTTGTGGAATGAATGTAGATGGTGATTCTCTCGGTGTAATGGCATCAATTATGAATTGCTCGGTGGGGGGCATCCCATTTAAATACTTTAGGGTCCCCATAGGAGCAAACCCAAACAAAATTTCGACAATGCGCCCAGTGATTGAGTGTATGAGGAGAAGACTGGATAGATGGGATAGAGTGGCATTATCCTTTGAAGGTAGAATAGTCCTTCTCAATGCTGTCTTATCCTGCTTACTCGTGTATCTTTTTTCTATATTCAAAGCCCCAAAGAAGGTAATCCACTTACTCACTAAACTCCAATGTAATTTTTTATAGGGTAGGGGAAAGGGTAAGAGAAGGATTGCATGGATAAAATGGGAAAAGGTTTGTAGGAAAAGGGAGGTTTAGGAGTTAGGAACCTTGAGGGTTTTAACAAAGCTTTGTTAGGAAAGTGGAAGTGGATGATTTTGAGGGAGAAAAAGACAATGTGGAGGAGGGTTATTTTTAAGAAGTATGGGTCGATAAGGGATAGGGGATGGGGTGGGTGTGTTCAGAATGAGAAGGGGTTAGCATGGTGGAGAGGGTTGTGGAAATTAGAGAGAATAGATAGATTCAATAATGGATGGTTAAAGGATGGGTGTGTTAGAGTGATAAGGGATGGTAATGAGACACTGTTTTGGGAAGATGTGTGGATAGAAGGAGTGAGTCTAAAAGAGAGATTCCCAAGTATATTCTCTTTAGCTACAAACAAAAGTGATACAATAGCTGAAGTAAAAAGAGACAGTGAAAGTGTAGGAGAATGGTAGTGGAGTTGGCATAGGAACCTTTTTGTTTGGGAATTTAATTTATTTTAGGAATTAAAAGGAATTTTGAGTCAAGTTAAATTGAAGCAAGGGCAAGAGCACTATTGGACATGGAGATGGGAAAGCAAAGGGGAATATACAACAAGGTCAACTTACCACCAAATCACCCAATCCCAACCAGCATAGGATATTGGCTATCTCAACCTAATTTGGAAGAGTACAACGCCATTAAAGGTTGTAGCACTAGCATGGAGAGCTTTTTTTGATAGATTACCAACAAAAACTAATTTGACTAGAAGAGGAATCATCATGGACAAGGCAGAAACTATTTGCAGTTGGTGCTCAACAGAGGAGGAATCCCTGGACCATCTTTTGTTTAATTGCCTTTATTCTTGGAAAATATGGACATATTGTTACGCTTGGTGGGATTTTCCCTCAATAGCACAAGTGAATGATCAAAGACATTATGAACAATAGATGGGGCTTATTCCAAAAAAGGAGTTTAAGGAAGCATGGAGGGTGATTTGGTTGACAACAATTTGGACAATATTGGTATGGAGAAGTCAAAAGGTATTTGGGAAAGAACAAGATAGTGAAGAGGAGGTTGGCGAGCTCATTAAGCATAGATCCTTTTACCAGTTAAAAGCCAAGTTATATCCAAATTTACAACAGGATTTATGGAAAGATGTCCCCAGATTAGCAATAAAAAGGCATGCTAGATAAGAGACTCTAAATGGGAAGGTGTGATCTTTAAAATTCTATAAGATGGTATGGTAAAAGAGAGGCAGCATTTTGTTGTATGCTAAGAATGTAAATGGGTTTGGGTACCCCTTGTACCCAAGAAAATAAAATTTTTGGCTTACCAAAAAAAAAAAAAACACCTTTTCCTAAACTAACCAAGCTTCCTTACATGTGCAAAATAAATGGTATACTTCTTCCATCCTCTCACTGCACAAACTACACAATAACCCCTCCCCATGTAGAGTCACCCCTCTTTTTGGTAAATTCAACTTAGTTGGAAGTCGATCAAGGCATAATCTCCACCCAAAGAATGCACCTTTGAAGGCACTAAGTTGCACCAAACCAACTTACAAAACTGATTCTAAAGAACACTCTCCCTAGGAGCTAAAAATTCATAGGCCTTCTTCACTACATACCTTCCTTCGGGGTCATGGACCCACCTCCAACATACCTTCCTTCTTCACTACATACCTGCACTTTAGTTTAATTTTTTTTATATATGTTTATTGTAACCTAAGTTCTTAATGTGTTTTCAAGGCAAACTTGAGCTCATTGTAAAAGAACTAATCCCTCATTTCTACCATATTGCCTAATTTGACACACAATTTATTTTTTAAACAATGTTCTTC